TGTGAGGCACTGGGGTCCATCCTCAGCACCACATAAAAATAAAGACATTGTCTCCATCTATAAATAATATATATATATATATATATATATATATATATATATATATATATATAAAATTAATCAAAGGGAGAATTTAAAATCAACGAATCTCTCAAAAACTAAGACAAAACTGAAACAATAAGAATGAGAACAGACCTTTGTATACCTGGCTGGGAATTTTCCACTTTATTGACGGGAAAGCAAATACCTTCTGCCACGGCACCTTCCTCTTGCCTGGAGTTGGCTGCTCTGACTCTGTACCTTTGTCCAGCTCCGCCCAGTGTCATCTGGCTGCAGCCTCTGGGGCCATCAGCCTCAGAGCCARTTCTGGCTGTGCCGAGATGGGGTTGCTCCGGCCAGGCCTATGGCTAAAGAAATTATGGATACTCTTATTGGTGATTGTAGAGGTGGCCATGGGCAAAGTGTTAATGACACTGTTTCCAGAAAGAGCCACGCAGAATATCTTGGCCATGGGCCAGAAGACTGGTATGACCAGAAACCCCCAATTCTCCCCTGACAACTGGGTCCCGACCTTCTTCAGCATCCAGTATTTCTGGTTCGTCTTGAAGGTCCGTTGGCAGCGACTGGAGGACAAGGCTGAGCTGGGGGCTCTAGCCCCAAACTGCCCTGTGATCCGCCTCTCGGGAGAGAAGTGCAATATTTGGGACTTCATACAAGGTCAGGAGGCTGCTGTGTGCTAGGGCGCTTGAAAGTCTGGCGGGCGGGGACAGAGAGAGGTTGAAAGGTGCTGAACTCTCCCACTCCAGCTGCTCCTTCTGGGGCTTCTTGTCTTCATCCCGCTCAGGAAGTGAGGGACTCCCTTGAGTTCTGTTGCTCTGAGTGGCATCACAACCTTCCCTGGCACCCCAGTCACAAGCCAGGCCTTCTGTCCCACTCTGGCCTCTCAGTCCTTGAATGCTCTTCTTACCGTGTCGTCGGTTCTGCCTGGGTTGCCCTCTGTCCACCTCTACCTGGTGAAATCCTCTTCATCCTTCACACTTCCACTCAATGGCACTTCCTGCAAGCAGCCAACCCCCACTTTCCCAAAACAGATTACCCGCTCCCTGAGGCTCTGAAGGTATGACCTTGGCCTGCAGGACTGAGGTGGCTTCCTAGAGGAGGTGGCTTTGGAACTTGGCCTTGAAGAATGAGGAAGATTTTTGTAGCTTGAGAAGGGAAGACTGTTTTAAGCAGAGGGAAGGGCAATAATTTCTTTCTTTCTTTTGTTTGTTCATGATTTTAAACCAGAGTGCACAAATGACCTTGATTTATTCGAAAACATTTATCAAACTACCATTGATTACAAGAGCAGTGTAACAACTAATTTTATTGTGTGTCTACTATGTGCCAGACACTATGCAAGAATAGGCCAATCTTCTGAATGCCAATTATCCAAAGATCAGTTTCAAAGATCAGTTTCCTGAAAACCAGATTGCCTCAGGGCCAATTCATAGAATTGAGTTCCATGATTTTTTAAAAATATATATATTTTTAGTTATCAATAGACCTTTATTTTACTTATTTATTTATATGCAGTGCTGAGGATTGAACCCAGTGCCTCACCTGTGCTAGGCAAGTGCTCCACCACTGAGCCACAACCCCAGTCCAAGTTGCATCATTTAAATGTATACTTTCAGTTAGAAAGTATTCAACTTTGTCAGCCAGGCACGGTGGTGCATGCCTGTAATACCAGAGGCTTGGGAAGCTA